TAGGAAGGTGTAATCTCACCATACTATCTTAGTCTATTCAGAATCCTCTCCGAGGCCTAACTTATTTCCTCCTGATAATCTATATTTGCTCCAAAAATCATAAAATGCAATGTTTTACAGTAATCCAAACCCCTATCCTATCCTATATCCAATTAGCAAAACTAAAGCTTCACTATTAATTACTAACTTAGCTTGTTTCTCCTTCCTACATTTCTCCATTAATTCAGAGGAGGTGCAGCAATATTTGTTGTGTAGTCTAAACATTACATCCCGCCCTTAACCTATTCCTTCCCTTCAAAACAAATAAAGGTTTGTCAAGACAGACAGTCTTAAAAGTAAACATATTTTTTATCCGAATTATACTTGTACCTATATTCCCCACTTACCCTAAAGCTTATCCTAACCTATTTCACACAATATTTTAACTAATAAATTACAAGACGTTTGTGATATTCTGCCAGATAATTTTCTTAACAAAGTGTTATGGCCATATATTATAATCTGCAAGGTGGAGGGGCTGGAATTATCAGGGGAAAGCGCCAATCCATTACGACTATATAGCCTTTGGAAGGGGTCAAGATAAGGATTTGGGATGGGACGAGGGAAAGGAATGGTGCCCAACCACTTGGACGGTCGGGAATTGAATGCCGACCTACATGAAGTGGGACGAGGGAAAGGAATGGTGCCCAACCACTTGGACGGTCGGGAATTGAATGCCGACCTACATGAAGTGAAACCATCGCATTACCATCCAGCCCAAGTGGATGGACTCTGCAAGGTGGAACATGCAGGTTTTTAATCTATGTGTTATATACATTTTACTAATAAATGCACTGTGTTCTTACATTTTTCCACCAAAAGTAATTTTTGTTAAAGAATAGTGTTAAAACAGCCTTCGTGCAGTTTACTCAAAGTCCGAGGACTTGGTTAGTGAATAGAACAGCAAAAGCTGCACCTTGTCTATAATTAAGGAGGGAGGGAGTTATGAGGAGAAAGCGGCAAGCCATTACGACTATATAGCACTTAAAAGAGGTCAGGATTAGGATTTGGGATGGGACGGGGGACAGGAATGGTACCCAACCATTTGGACTGTCGGGGACTGAACGCCGACCTGCAGGAAGCGAAACCGTCGCTCTACCGCCCTGAAATATTGTGTAGCAAGGAGCATTGAAGCTAGCTTGGGTGGTTAAATCTCGACTTTCGTCACTATTTTGTAGAAAATATATTTATTACATGGAAAGAAAGGGTAGGTGAGGGCGTGTTGGGTTAGATATAGTGGTATATGTGGAAAACGTTTTGGCCAGGAGTGTGATTGGTTAAATAATTATGGTGAGACATGTGGAAATCGGATGTTAGATGAAATGGACAGACCGACTAAAACTGCTCTTTTTCTTTAATTTAACTTGGATAATATGTTATTGTTCTATGATTTAGGTGAAAAAGTTGACATTTGATAATGAATAAAGTGTATAAAATCTGAACATATTAGAGGGGACAGTATTAGTCTGAAACTTAGCTTTGTTCCAGGTTTGATCAGATGGCTAGTGGAACTATACCTTATGTGGAAGACCTTCGGATATATTTTTAGCTGAAAAGTCCTAAGATATATGGGAAAACCATCCCATCCTCCTTTTCAGATAGTTTTTATATTATGGATGTGGACTGCTGCACATATATTACGAAATGGACAATTAGAAAGTGGAATTTAGTACTATTGAATTTGTACAAACCGGAAAAGGTTTTGTATTTATGTTGCTAATAACATCTAACCGAAGCTAATCATCCTAGGCCTAATAGACACTATCTGAGGCCTAATAGTACATATATGTGCTTTACTAGTCCTAAGAATATTTCAGTTTGGTTTTTAGCTTTATTTTTCAGGACTCTATAAAGTGATAACTCCCAAATTCTATTTTCTAATTGTCCATTATGTCAATATATGAAGGATGGTGCACATAGTTACAAAAAGAACTATGTAAACAGGAGGATGGGTTGTGGAAAACATAGTTCTATAACCAGTGAGGGATTTTAAAAGGATGGAAGTAGAGTCGGGTTACAAACCTAGAACCTATCTAGAAGTTAGCTCCGATGGTAAGGTTAGTGAAATAGTGTGAAATTTAAATATGTTTGCGAAACCTTTATTATTTATTATGAATTTTGATGTAAATATATTATTCAATTCTTTTCAATATGGTGATGTAGGTTCACCATTACTGATCCCAACCATATGTCACTCTGACTAATATTGTGACTTTGGGAATAAGATCTCATGAGAGCTTCTATTACACTTTTTCCTTTAATTTATGAGAAAATATATTTATTTTTCTGCGCTCTGGGAGAAGTAATGGTGATAATGGAAAATTAAGGTATAAGAGACCTTAACATATTAGTGAGGAACCAATAGTTTGAAAGAAAGTTAGCTCTGCTCTATGTTTGGTTAAGTGAGTTTTGATAGGATGGATAGCAAAACCAAATATAATGTTGCATTGGCGGTTGATTGACATGATGTAAATAGGAATGTCTCTCTTTATCTGTGTGTTCTGATAGTAGGAAAAAACACGGAGAAACTATAGTTGAAGAAGACATGCAAACACACAACGTATCGGCCACTATGATTCCTAGCTTGTTTCAACTTGTAATAACGTTGTTACATATGGTTATATCGTTTTTATGATGTATTAGAACGTTGTTACAACTTGCTATATTGGTTGTTATAATTATTATAAGGTGTTAGACCTTGTTCCAACGTTGCAGCAACCATAGAGTTTCGTCGTGTGTTTGGCGGGTATATAATGAGCTTGAGAAGTCCTTATAAGAACCATTGTGTTAAATTTATGTAAGTTGGGAGAATCTCGTTTCAATCATTTGTGGAATATTAAGACATCATTATTTACCAGTAACATTGATTTAGAATTGGGTAGGAGTAAATGTGAAGGATTTTATGATTTTTAACAATTTAGCAGTAAATTACTAACGTAATAGAATTGGATATGACGTAAAAGTTTAAAAATGCATATCAAAGTATACTTTGCTCTCTTCTTTTTACAACTTCTCTTTATATAGATAACGTCTCTCTTCTCTTTATTTAGACTTCACATAGCAGGTTCTTGATGACCTCTATAAAAGAGACCATTTCCCCATCTTTGTCACCTCTTTTCATCCTCCCCTCTCCTTCGCTAAGTAGCAGTTTGCCAAGACTGACTGGAACCTTACGTGCTACTCGTTCTAATCTCTCTGATCTGCGTTCTGGGAGAAATAATGGTGATAATAGATAATGATAAGAGCTCATGTTAAATTCATATAAATGGAGGCTCCCCCCAGCCTCCTTTTACATGACACCGTTTTCGACGCTTCCCTTCGCTCTGTTTCTCGCTTTACCTCCCAGGCCTCGCAGAAGTGAACGGCCACAAAATTCACCCTGGTGGAATGCAGACTATGCTTGGGCTGTCCACTGTTAGCGTGCAACCTGGAAGAAACACCGACGCCATCGGACGACCGGTTCTTATATTTTGTTTCGGAAGACAAGAGCGGCGGCCCGTAGAGCCATCCACTTGGCTTATGGTGAGAGTTGGAGATCTTTTGTCTCCACCATTACAACTAACACTCCTCTGCCCCTGATCTGAAAGAAAACTCACAAGATATCAGGTAAAATTGGTCCAGATGTCTCACCAGTCCTTCACCTCCGGGGTTCTATTGTGGCGGATCCGGTGTCGGTCGCGACCGAACTGAGTTTTCACTTTTCGACTGTTAGCTCCAGTTTTCATTTCTCTCCTTCTTTCCATACTCCTAAGCTCCTTCTTGAATCTTGAACCTTAGATTTTCGCACTTATCTTAAGCATCCCTATAATGATCATTTCTCTCTCAGAACTCCGGTCTACCCATAGAGCAGGCTGCTCCATGTTCAGCAGTCAGCAGGCTGCTCTATGTTCAGCAGTCAGCAGGGTGCTCAAGGTTCAGCAGGCTGCTCTATGTTCAGCAGTCAGCAGGCTGCTCTATGTTCAGCAGGCTGCTCTATGTTCAGCAGTCAGCAGGCTGCTCTATGTTCAGTAGTCAGCAGGCTGCTTAAGGTTCAGCAGGATGCTCTATGTTCAGCAGTCAGCAGGCTGCTCAAGGTTCAGCAGTCAGCAGGCTGCTCAAGGTTCAGCAGTCAGCAGGCTGCTCAAGGTTCAGCAGTCAGCAGGCTGCTCAAGGTTCAGCAGTCAGCAGGCTGCTCAAGGTTCAGCAGTCAGCAGGCTGCTCAAGGTTCAGCAGTCAGCAGGCTGCTCAAGGTTCAGCAGTCAGCAGGCTGCTCAAGGTTTAGCAGTCAGCAGGCTGCTCAAGGTTCAGCAGTCAGCAGGCTGCTCTATGTTCAGCAGTCAGCAGGCTGCTCTATGTTCAGCAGTCAGCAGGCTGCTCTATGTTCAGCAGTCAGCAGGCTGCTCTATGTTCAGCAGTCAGCAGGCTGCTCTATGTTCAGCAGTCAGCAGGCTGCTCTATGTTCAGCAGTCAGCAGGCTGCTCTATGTTCAGCAGTCAGCAGGCTGCTCTATGTTCAGCAGTCAGCAGGCTGCTCTATGTTCAGCAGTCAGCAGGCTGCTCTATGTTCCGCAGTCAGCAGGCTGCTCTATGTTCAGCAGTCAGCAGGCTGCTCTATGTTCAGCAGTCAGTAGGCTGCTCTATGTTCAGCAGTCAGCAGGCTGCTCTATGTTCAGCAGTCAGCAGGCTGCTCTATGTTCAGCAGTCAGCAGGCTGCTCTATGTTCAGCAGTCAGCAGGCTGCTCTATGTTCAGCAGTCAGCAGGCTGCTCTATGTTCAGCAGTCAGCAGCGTACTCAACCTGTCAGAAGCATCACGGGGAACATTCTTGCTCAACCTTTAAGAAATATAACACGGAGAATGGTGCACATAAGAGGTTTATCTAGTCTCTTAATAACTCGCTTGATATATTTACTTTTGTTATCATGTGAATGGTTACAATTGCCTATTTATATGACCAAAATATTAAATTTTAACTTTTTTCCCTAACTCTTGTCAGGTGTCGACGGCAGACGTGGTATTGATACACTTACGGAGTGTGGCAAGTAGAGAGAAGGTGCTGGTGGACCTAGGTCCACGCGACCCTTCTCAGCCCTGGGTTATGTTTGAGCCAGAAACACATTTACAGTCTAACGTCCTCTTCCATACGAATTATAAGTTGCTAGACGGGTTCTTCAACCGCACGATGCACCACCGGAGAGATTCAGACATCCTAGTGCTCCACGGGTTTATTGTGGGGCGTGGCCGGGACGCATCCTTCCTGCCTCCATCATGGCGTCAAGATCCGGTACTGTTTCCTAACAAAACCAGGAGGAAACTGGCCGTGGCGTTCGTTTCCAACTGTAAGGACAACAGTGGAAGGTTACAATATATCCGAACTTTGAAGAAATACGCCCGGGTCGATGTGTATGGCAGATGCGGCGGCCATAAGTGTGGAAGTTCTCGATATGCTGAGCACGCATACAAACCTGCAACGGATCCCTGCATGAGGATGGCTGGCGATAGTTACCTGTTTTATTTGGCGTTTGAAAACGCCTTATGTACGCACTATGTAACGGAGAAGCTGTACAACCTTCTTTACTATCCACTAATTCCGGTGGTGCTTGGGGCGGCCAACTACAGCGCCCTGATGCCTCCTGGCTCCTATATCAACGCCCTGCACTACACACCCCAACAACTGGCTTACAAAATGAAGTACCTCGCCGATCACCCTCAGGTAGGCTCAAACATGCATTAGAAATGTCTGCCGCTCGTGGCCAAAACACAATTTTGTGCCCTCTCTTTTCCCTGAAATAATCAAACCCACACACCTCCTATACTCTTAATTTTCGAAAACCCAACCTTACATAGCAACCCCTTCCTAACTTGGAACAATGTCTGACCATTATCAGGGGTGCCCTAGATTTTATCAGAGACCCTCGATAAAAACATTAATAAACACACAAATGCTTACTACTAAGACCACCACCAATGGAACACACACTACTCAGCTACCAGATAGGGGTCTATTAGCTGAGTGGACAGCGCGCAGGACTCTGTGGTCCGGGTTCGATTCCCGGACCTGGCAGAAACAAATGGGCAAAATTTCTTTCACCATAAATGCCCCTGTTACCTATCAGTAAATAGGTACCTTGGAGCTAGGCAGTTGTTACGGAGCTGCTTCCTGTGTGTGTGTGAGTGTGTGTGTGTGGGGGGGGGGGGGAAATAGTTAGTTAGTAGTTAGTAAGAGTTGATTGACAGTTGAGAGGCGGGCCGAAAGAGCAAAGCTCAACCCCCGCAAGCAAAACTAGGTGAATACACACTGGAGAGTCACCCTTTAGTGATCTAAACTATGGAGAAAGAGGCTCACCGTCGTACTGTTTGGGGAATCGGCTCAACCTATTATTACGAGTACACACCCCACGGAGCCGACATGACTTACCTTCTCTCTCCTTACTTTGGGATGACCTCTTTCTAGTTCCCCTTTATAATATTATTCCTGCTGCACACCACATGCACCCTGTCGACCGGCCACAGTTATTTCTCTCTCTCTCTCTCTCTCTCTCTCTCTCTCTCTCTCTCTCACTAGGACAAATGCAGAACAAGTTGTCTACAGACAAACATTTATTAGAATAATATAAAGAATGATAAATACCCGCATAGTATCATCAGGTCCAACAAACTAGCTTCACGCCTATATAATATCAGTGTTCCACCAAGTAAACTATGCTAGGCTGCTGCTTAATCTTCGCCCGCAACCTCCTGCCTCCTCGACGTCAGGGTTAGGCAACTTGCATATAAATTAACTGAAACTGGAAAATATTAACGTTCTCACCTTACACTGCGCCATTCATAACATGAATTCATGAACTCCCTCAAACAATAATTATTTCTATATAATTCTATGTATTGGGTCCTGAGGCCCACCACTAGTACAATCCATCAATGGGTCCTCAAATTAAGTGTGAACTTCTACAGTCTCTTCAATATTACTACTGCGTCTAACAATGACCAAACACGTCCACCAAGTACCACTGCTACTTGAAGTTCCACCATATACCTGAAGATCCTCTACATAGGCTTCACCATACACGTAGTTCTCCTATACCATTGAAGTTCCACTATACACTTGAAGATGCACCATATGAACTTCACCAGATACGAACCTCACCAGACTTGAAGCTCATACACGAAGTTCCCCATACACGAACTTTACCATACACAAACCCTGTAATTCCATTAAAATATAATAATTACATGTTCTTCTATCAAACAAATAATAACAAATAATATAAACTAAATTTCATCCTACAATGTCCAACTGCCGCATCTACACTAAAAGTGTGCTCCCCCACAATGGACGAGTCCACCCAGTTAGGCTTCCTCCCCTCAGTCGTGCAGTCCCTCAGTCGTACACTGCACTCGTCTGAGTGATCATATGTCGCTCCCACCTCCATAATATCAAATCATCGCAAACTCCTCACATTGTCTCATTATTTTCATAAACTCTCTAACCTACATTCACAAACGTCCTATAAAATCGCTGGGCACATGATCTAACTATAACAAGCTCTACATGACAGAATACTGGTCTCATACCACAAAAGGATGTCGCGACAACGCCTGTCCAATGACGCCCAAATATAGCGCTCTTCCCGGTCGTGTATAAATTTCTCTTGGACGTGCACCTATCGGCCCGTTTTGACTTGAGCGTGAGAAGTCGTGTAACAGGTGCCACACAGAAACACCTGCCCAATTTATTCACTTAAAGGATTTACACACAGTAGGGTCCTGAAAGGCACGACCACTCAATAGGCTTCAGGTCGCCCCTATATCATTACCATAATAACTGAGAATACATTAAACATCGTCCTCCAACAGCTTCTTCATACGCTGTTAACAAAGTCTCTCACCATTTCTTCATCATGAGCTACAGACTTCCTTCTTCATTAGGAGGCAATGACGTATGTCCGTTTCTGTCAACTCTCACGATTCGTCCGTCCAGCGGTCGACCCCAAAGACATATTCAACAATTTTAACATGCTGTTCATTCAAAATAGGAATTTTCTCAGAGATAAATTAATATTGTTATATACTAGCATACTGTGCATAGTTAGGCATTGGTTAAGTAGGTGTTTAGCTGTTGGCGATTAGTATTTGTAGTCCATTGATAGCGTTGTGGTTAACAAAATTCGTCAGTGAAGCATTTGTTCCGGAGTGTTTGAATGAAATCAGTTGTGAGTGAAACCATTTTTCATTCATAAACAGGGGGTAGGCATGGAATCACTTTTGAGTCTTTGTTTGGAGGACGGGCTTCCATTTACAGTGCTGTGGTTCAAACAAAAGTCGTCAGCGAAGCACTAGTTCCGGATGTGTTCGGACGTCATCAGTTGTGAGTCGTGTGTAAACCGTTTTTCATTCATAAACAGGGGGTTTGGCGGGTTCATGGAATGGACTTTGGCCTTGGTTTATGAGGACAAGCAGGTTTATGAATAACAAATATTTTACAGAAGATTTACAACTGATGACATTCAAATTTTTCTTGAGCAATGCATCGCTCACATCCTCTGTTCAAATCGAACCTCTCAGGGCCTCATTCACATTCTGTAAATACAAATAATTGCATTATTTATTTTCGTTTTCAGAAATCATTTTCATCAAATGATTCACTATAAAGGAAAACTCGAGCTTCAATTGTACAGACAAACTTGCATAAACAACAAGCCGAATGAATCAGAAAAACTCATTCCCGGGAAAGGTCTTAAACCTAAGACTGTCAGGAGTTTATAACCCACTAGCAAGTCGAGTATTCTGACCACATGACCACACAGACTATTCAAAAGTATTGGATACTCTTTAGTGGTAACCTTCTTTTGCTGAAACTGACATTATTCGGAGGACCTATGGCAGTTCCTCGACCTAGAAATGGCGTCTTAAACCTTGCTGGGATCAACCGCACTGAGGACCAAATCACTCTCTTAAATCTGGGAATAAACTGTCACATTATGTCCAGACCAAGTGAGATGGCCCAGAAAGTGAAATCGGAGATCCTATTGGACGACATATTCGACCTCGAGAAGCAAAAGAAGGTTACCACTAAAGACACATTGCAAGCTGAACTTATTGCGGAGGGAGGAAAGATTCGAGATTACTACAGGAGAACCATAGTAGGGTAAATTGAGACTATGACCGTGTGCAACACCTGGGCAGGTGAGTCAATTAGGCCCCTGCAGAGGTGTTGCACACGTCCGTAGTCTCAGGGGTGGGGGGTGCCCATAGGTGCGCGTGCGTCGTCGCGCGGAGTGTTTGTGGGATGCGGTGGGGTGGCTGGGCGTGCCAGGTCATTGTCTCGTGGGGGGTTGTGTCGTGGGAAGTAAAAGTGTATGTATAGGAACAGGTGAGCAGGAGTAGTAGTTGTAAGATGAATGTGTATGAGTATGTAACGTAGAGTTAACCATGTGGAGATATATAGTTATTAAATAAAGTATGTAGGAAATAGAAAGATATGTTGAGGGCGAAGAGGGGAGGCCCTCCCATGGGGGGCATATCCAGGAGATAGAGTTTATTTAAGTGTACGGTTAGGGAAGGGCGTGTGAAGCAGGTGAGGGGAGAGGTGAAGGGAGAGAAGAGGACCACCCAGGAGCTTTGGCTGGGAGTGGTAGTGCGCCTCACACTTTCGTGTTTTTTAAACAATATGTCTGTTGTATGTAGGAAAGGCTAGATGGCAGAGTGAAGTGTGTATATTTTACCAAAAACGTATAATTTTCTCTCCATAGTCTCTGCCGCTGCTATCGCCTCAGCCTCTAGTCCTAAGTCTTCAACACTGGGTCTAAGAGGAGTCATTAATTTCGTGTCATGCACGAGTGTGTTCACAGTGGGATGTCACACTGGCAACTGAGCTGTGATCGAAGCACTCATAATATTTTTGTAAACAAAGGAGGTCCCCCCCCCCCCTCACCACCCCTACCCATCAGCCTAGACCGGAATGGAGTGCCATATACCTACCACATGGCCCATGTCACACCGCACAGGGCCTGAGGCACACCACATACCACATGGGTGAGAGAGTGAGTGTTCAGACGGCCTACCCCTTTGATAGCGGTCGTGTGACTGAGGTAAATGTGTGGGAGGGGGGGGGGAGGGGAGTATTATGTCGACAATAGCCCCCACCATAACCCCTCGCGCGCTCCCTCCAGCACCTTACCATTGAGTAGAATAATAATATTAATAATAATAAGATAAGATCACACGCATTCTGTTTATTTGCGTTAGTTTAAAAAATAGGGATGTCGGGAGGGCAGTACCATATATATGTTTTAGTTAGGTTTTTTCTCAGTAAAGAAGGAGGTGTGTGTATCCGCCCCTCTCGCCCCCTCAGCTTTCATAGTTCCCTGTCAGCCCACCTTATCAGTCACAAGAGATCTCCTCTTCTGAGGTACGGGAGTTCATCACCAGGTGTGTGGAGGCGGCGAGACGAGGGTCTTGCGTGTCTACTTCAGGGAAGTGGCAGCTCCCGCCTACCCGCTACCCTTACACTTAGCATGCTCTGTTTACTTCTCACCCCTCAGGTTTTGGCACTAGCATGCATGTCTCTGTATTCAGAACAAATAAGTAGTTAAGGGTATATACCCATTTTATATAAATTGTTATTCTTTATTAAACACTGAGACATTTACAACGACAATAATAATAATATTTTTAAATGTGCAAACATCATTCTTTCTCCAAATAACTTTT